GAAGGATTATCTGTTGTAGTCAGGATCCGACGATTGTGGGGTGGGACTTTGCGAATGGGGATAAGGATATTATGCTTGCTAGTCAGTTTTTTGGGGACTCTTATTAGGTGTGAGAGAGGGTCTGGTGACTTTGAGTGGCATTCTGGTGCTTCTGGAATGTGTTTGAGGGAACTTGGTGATGATTGATGGGGGTTATTTGTATGATGATTTATGTATATAGGGGCATGTTTGCATCGCATTGGGTGGTGGATTCGGTTTTGGTGGGTTCGTTTGTAGCGCCCTTTGGAAGGTTAATGATTTATCAGATCAACTATACTTGTTCAATTTCCGAGAGTTCTGACGGTACAGTGAGGGTATCTGATCGTTTCCTACCGTATCGTTGACTTCTCATCTAGCGACTTCTTTCACGTCCAGCTAACGCTATACTCGCACATGTGACATACATAATGGATAGATGGTCACGCTGTGTCCTGAACCAATGATGACTTGAGTCCAGTGCATGTGGCTGATCGGTCTGATTGGTGCCGTGTACGCCATAACGCCATGAAGTGGCTGTGCCTTTTGTAGGTCTCACCGGAATCTACTCGGGCATCTGATCGCGTCCACGACCCTTTGACTCACCACTTTCGCTCTCAATTCATATTATCAGAGCGCAAGCCGATTACGGTGAGATCTTGATGAACAATAGCTAAAAGTCACCCTACATACAGCTATTGTGCAGCAATAATGACGTACTGGACACAATTCTGGAGGCAGTTCTTCAAGCTCAGCTCGCTTCCCTTTCACCTTGACCGATGGTTATTTCGGCTGCCTACTGGATGGCATATTGGCTTCGGACTCTGGATCAGATGCACCGTTGACAGTCCCGGAGCCGCACCCTTTGCAATACTAGTACGTCCTACGAACTCGTGACATGATCAGCTCTTAATTGTGTAGAACGACACCGAAGAGCATTACAGCCACATTCCCCTCGACAAAACCAAAGAGGAAGACTTTCGTCTGCTTCAACTCCATCCAGGCAATCCTGGTGATCCGATCCGGATCAGTCTGATGGCAACGACACTACATGACGCACCCGCATACGAGGCAATATCTTATGTCTGGGGAAGCGGCCTGGATCGCGCCGAGATCATTATCAACAACTCTCGATTCAACATCACCAAAAATCTTCACGACGCTTTCGCAGCTCTACGATATTCAGCGTCAGTACGAGCGATGTGGGCCGATCAAGTGTGCGTCGATCAATCAAGCGTAATGGAAAGGAGCCATCAGGTTCAAAAGATGGACATGATCTACGGAACTGCAAAAAGTGTTGTTGTTCATCTCGGTGTACCGACGGAGCATACGGGAACAGATATGCAACATTTACAGTCTTTTTTACAGCGTCATGTCCAAGGAGAACCCGCACCCTGGTCACACATCGCGATACCCGACCTCGAGCGTAGCGTTTCCAACATCATCGACCGACCATGGTTTGAACGCATGTGGACCCTGCAAGAGGCAGTCCTGGCCCGGCACATTGTCTTACAATGTGGCCAGTATCGAATCCAATGGACCGCTGACTTACGCACTTTAAGAGCGTTAGTCTTTCGCGTCAAGTCTGCGATCGTATCCCCGCTCTACAATCTGCATGAACGAGATGCGAAAGAGCTCGATTGGATGCCGTTACTCCATATTCTTGAATCTCAGATGAGACAAGCTGCGCGCAGAGAAGGTGTGGTGTTGCAGCGGAACCTTCTCGATGTGGCTTTTGACTTTCGACATCGACGCTGTGGCGACCCGCGCGACAGGTACTACGCTATCCTCGCTATCATCGAGAATGATCAAAGGGGTTCGTTTGATGTCGCTGTCGACTATAGTTTGGGCGCCGAAGAGGTGTATGAGCGTTTCAGGGCTGCGGTTCAGCAGATCAGTGAGATAGAAGATGTTCCGCTTGCTTGAAATTGCGAGATATGATAGACTGTTCCCAGAGAGCGCGATAGAAACAATTCTGTGAACGCGGGAACGGTCCCGCAGTCGATATTAACAGTATTCAAAGTACTTTGGAACGGCTTTTATGATTGCGGCCTTTCTCATTGAGGTGTAACTTGGTGTGTGAGATGGTTATGTACAGCGGAAATCGTGAGTAGCTCGCTGCTCGCCCTGCGTCACCGCAACTATAGTGGCGTGTCCTACGTACAGGTGAAGAATTCTGTCATCGACTAGACAAGATCAAAGTACTGAGCCGGGATACCAGCGTCTCTGAGCGCCTCCACACTCGTCTCGATTGTTGGAAGACAGTTCTTTCCACGGTCATGAGCTTGGAAGCCGGGGTTGAGGAGCAATTTATCCAGTCTGGGATCTTTGTACTGTACTTCTTTTGTATGCTCATTCCAATACGCAGATATGAACGTCTTTACGTCCTCGTTATAGTGACGGACTGGCCGTAAATGTTCTGGTAGAGGGCCCAACAGTGTCTCTCCAGCATGAACCCCTGACACGTATGACTGGCCAACGACTTGATAGGTATTATCTTTAGTCTGACGAAGTAGGATGGTAGAATAGCAACCCAAAAGTACACAGACTGTATCACCCGGTCTGGCGGCTGGTGGAGCGATGCCAACCGAACCTTCTGTTGTGACGAAGAAATTCCGGTTGCGACAAACAGATCTGACCCTGTCTCCGTATTTGCGCCATTCGATGGTGGAGTCCACATCGCCGGACAAGAGCATCCCTGTTACCAGTCTAGCCTTGAAAGTTTGCATGACTGACTTAAAGTCTGGGAGGTCTTCGCGGATAGGGATCATGGCATGGCGGATAGGGATCATGGCATGGCGGAAAGAACCGGCACAAAGCGCATCACACACTGCAGACAGCTGAGATGTTTCGGTTTCGTTCGAAGGAGTCAATTTGGCCATTGTGGCCTTCCAGAGGGCCGTCAACACAGTTTGAAAGTCATCCTCGCTCTCGCCGAAATGCATGGACTGTACATCTTCTATTGTCGCAATAGCCACACCAGCGACACTCAACATCTTTTCACCTTTGCTAGCTGCAATCGACTCGAAACTAGCGCTTGCATTGCTTGAACCTCCGATACCTGGTTCCGCTCTTAGCTCCGTTGACCAATCTGGGACCCATGTTGGCATATGGGGAGGAGTGTCTTGCGGCTCACACTGAAGGAGTATGGATAGGTCACTCGTGTGGTTTATGAACCGTACAGTGGTGTCTTGGTAGACAAGAGCTACATCCCGAGTGTAATCTGGGACGATGGCTATGTCCTGTTGGCTTGGGGGAAGTAGGCTCAATATGGCATATATCCTGTCTCGGGGGTCTGCGCATACAACGTGGGCAAGGTCTTTTCTGAGCCAATCGAGAAAATACACACGACGTTCGCAAAGGCCATACACCAGGGTGATACGGGACGCAAAGCTCGCAATCTGATCTCCAAGTGCTTCTAACATCAGCTTCCAACCTTCTGTATAGATGAAGTAGATAGCATCCCTAAACAGAGGCCAAGGCATGGACAGTCTACCACAACAGATAATTGCTTGAGTTGCCAGCCCAATCTCTTGCCGAATCCAAAGACGTTCAAACCAATGTCGATGCAAGAGGCGATTGAGAGCTTGGGCGTCCTCATCTTGAAACCCGTGATGTTGGAGTTCTCCCATCCTGGAAGGTGGATCATCACCCGCCATCTTAGGCTTGAATGTGCATCTGATCCAATCCACATCGATGCTCGAACCGATGGCACGCATGATGTCGAAGGCTTGAGATGAGTCATCTTCCTCGGGTCCAAGCCAGACTGTAACTCTAGATGCTCCTCGGTAAATATCGCTCATTAAATTGACTTGGGAGCTTCGCTCTTTCAAATTACTCTGGTCGATGCAAATTGCGTCTACCCACAGTATTCTGGAATTGTTCGCGTCTCTGAGATACCGTAACGCTGTCGCTAGGTTTTGCGTGACCGATATAGTGTGTTCCCGAGAAGGACCGACGAGTATGGAAATCGGATGGGCCTGCGAGCCCCACACGTAGGACAGAGCTTCGTAGTTGGAAGTGCCATCCAAAAGCACTTGCTTCAGCTCCACGTGAAGGTCATCTGAAAAGTCGCCAGGACTGAGTCTCAGAAGCCTGACGTGTTTGCCTGCTTCGGGAAGCGGAAGAGCTGGGTGTAGGTATGGAAGCATGGTAATTTGAGGGCTAAAGGGCTGAAGCTTCGGATGAATGTGTTCGAGAAGGAGGATGTGAGATCGTCGGGCCTGTAATCAAGATTTCGAACGATGCCACAGGAGTTAAATTGACGGAATGTACGATATGAAAATTTGATGGTCGTAACGGGCTAAAGTGTGGTTTTGTGGCAGAGGAGGCGGTAGTGGTGAAGGACGAACCGGACTAGACGTGTAGGTCCTGCGGGTTTGACGTTATCTTGGAGGGGTTAACATGAGTGAGATCGGATAAAATCACGGAACATGCTTCGCGCCCCAAGTCAAGTCCAGCGGAGCTGTGCCTGTGGCTGCAGTGGTAGGCACCAGCAACCGCTGCATTCTGTGTCAGCTACACTCTATGCTGTGAGCGATCCTGCATCGGTCAATACCTAAGATACCTTGCGACGCTTAAGCCACCAATGCAACAGCCGTACTTCTTGGCTCAATTAGCATGGTACTTGAATGGCATGTCACTCATTAATGGTAAGTGACTAGGAGCCGTGGTGGTTGTGAGGATGAAGTTGATAGCCCGTGACGCGTCGAGATGCGCGTCATCGGAAATTGACCAGCGTGCCAAGCTTGATCGGCGGCGCTAAGTATCCCTGCTCATTGCGCCGGATGCTCGAGCAGCGGAAGCCGCGCCCCATCTCCAGCTGACAGCACTCAAGATGGACCCAGTCTACATGTCTCGTTTGCCCTGCACCAGTTTGACCTTACATTCACTATAATATCACGTACTATCGTTATCGACTCCTTGGAAATGTACATCTAGCGTATCTCCGTCACTACAGCAAACCCATGAGAGCGACGCCCATCATGGTTGTCAGGTCGGCTTCAGGAACTCTGGGCGGGGTGCCTATGAAGCATGTTTCTCTCGTGACAGTAAGCCAATCTTCGTCGCACTCATCGTATAGGCAAAAGCTCATCCATGCACAGCTTATATTTCAAAACTCTGCCCTCATCCTGGTACGATTGCCCTCCACCGCGAACCACTACACCAACGCAATCGAACAGCACACAGAACATGCGGATACCGTGGAGAAGCAAGCGGGGAGTGACAGTGGCTGACGCGACCCCAGGTTATGCATTACTCCAGGATAATGCCTCTGACTGGAGAGCAACGATACCACGCAAGCACAAGCGTCTTCTTGAATGAGGTCATCAAGCTTGCTATAAGCTTGACTATGGTACGGCACTCGGGTTGAGAGGGATGGAATGCTGTTAGGCTCACGACCGTCCTAGGCATTACACGAGATGTCAGGCAACCTTCCTTCGAACACGACGATCCCAACGCTTTTCCGTACCTTGACGACCGCGATCTTTACGAACGAAAGCTGGAAGCTTGCGATACCCGCCGTACTATACACGATACAAAACTCTCTCCAATACATCGCTGTCAGTAACCTGGATGCCGCGACGTTCCAGGTGACTTACCAGCTCAAGATCCTGACGACGGCTATCTTCAGTGTATTGATGCTGGGCAGAACACTCTCGGCGCGCAAGTGGCTATCGTTGTTGCTTCTCATCATCGGCGTCTCTATTATACAAGTACCGCAAGCGACTGCGCCGTCACCACCACAAGCATCTGGTGCAAAGCCATGGACCAAGACGCTGGAGCAGCTGCACGACCTTGGTGAGAATGTCGCAGGGCGGCTAGGGAAACGGTCTGGGTCATACGAGGGCATACACGCAGATCGCGCAGCCCAGATACCCCACATGAATTACCGGGTTGGGCTCATGGCTGTCCTGATCTCCTGCGCGCTTTCAGGCCTAGCCGGGGTTACCTTTGAGAAGATCTTAAAGGACTCAACGAGCGCCAAGCAGACGCCGCTCTGGGTCCGCAACTGCCAGCTCTGTTTCTGGTCGCTCTTTCCGTCGTTGTTCCTGGGCGTGATATGGAAGGATGGGGAGATCATAGCGAAGACTGGATTCTTCGTCGGCTACAATTGGGTGGTGTGGACGGCTATCGGTCTTCAAGCAGCTGGTGGCATTGTGGTCGCGCTCGTCATCAACTATGCCGATAATATCGCCAAGAACTTTGCGACATCGATCTCCATCTTGGTTAGTTGCATTGCAAGCGTTTACTTCTTTGACTTCAGGGTGACGCGATCAGTAAGTCTCTAGTGCCATAGTGAGGCTCATGATGCTGACCATCGGCAGTTCTTCCTAGGTACATGCGTCGTGCTGTTTGCGACCTATCTTTACACAAAGCCTGAGCGGGGCTCGCAATCGCTGCCAGTCAGGATTGCCGACTTCGAGAAGACTACAGTGGATCGCACAATCGATACCAACAAGCCGCGGAGGTCATCAGTGTATGAAGCTGCTCCAAAAGCAGCACCGGAATCGCCCTCTATAGAACGGCATTCTCATAAGCGAGATGCTTGAGCGATAGTAATATAGGGACCATGTGATCACAATGCGGACGAGGTGCACGCATAACTGACAGAGATCTACGCACTCACTACCTTCCTTGATCGAAGTTTGCCGTCGAGTGACTCCGCCAAATCCGGATATGGCACGTCAGGCCGCGACTTCCTCCATGGTCACTTCCCTCTCATCTCAGCTCTCACGTAACGCCCCACTTTAGATTCTGAACTTTTCCCGCCGCGACTTTGCTGTGAAAGAGCCTCTGATCAAACCACATGTAGCAGTCATGGACGACGACCGCTATCCACATGATGGCTACGAGCAGTTCGGGGCTCCCCGCTGCACGTCGCAGTACGACATGCTTCGGCCTCAGTTCAAGCAGCCTAGAAGAACAGTCGCACCTCGGGATCGCTATCGCGCCACTCAATATGACGACCCCCAGTATGACGTGGTTGAGGACGATAGCATGTACGACCGAGGTCAGCAACTCGATTCATTCGGTAAGTGGTCCCCTCGCTTCCACAACTTCTTCGCTCACACTTGCAGATGACAGAGTGCTTCGACAACCATATGCTGACTTTGGGCGGCAAGCTGCACAAGGCACAAAGAGGTTGTCACTTGCACCAGGCCCTTCCACGTTCTACAGTCATGCGGCGCCTACCCAGTCGCAGCCGTCTTACCAGGTTCGTGATCAAGACACGTACCATGGAGAAGGTACTTTAGCCCACACTACAGAGAGGCATCTACTGACTAAGAAGCAGAATACCACCCGCGTCCTGAGCAGGCTATGCGAGGTCAAATGAGTGAGTCGAAAGCACCTCTGCCGTTGGTGGTTGTGGCCATGCTGATCACCGTCCAGGCCGCTTTGCCTATAATGCCGCTCCGCTTCAAGAGTCTAGTTCCGACATGCCGCTCGGCCCGTCTTCTAGTCCAGCACTCAGGGCAAGTCAGCGGCGTGCCGAGCAAGTCACTGATTTCGGACCTCAACACGGCTCACAGGCCCCACCGTTCGAAGGCGACGGCCATGTTGTTGCTGAAGAGTACCGACAACAACATGAGCACTCCCATGGAAAGGCTGCACCGCCCAGTTTTCGACCACATGCTAGCCAGCAACGCGCATCTGCCGCACAGCACAGAGGCGACCTCAATCCTCCGCATCATCGACAAGCTCCCCCAGAGCCGCAGACGTACCCAGAAGATGTGTCTAGCGCTGCTCCCATGTGCCAAGGTATCCGCCTGGTCCCTGTCACTACCCTACCAGATCGTCTTCGAACGGTGTTTCCTTACCCGACCTTCAACGCCGTACAGTCCAAGTGTTTCGACCGAGTTTTCAGGACCGATGACAACTTTGTGCTTGCATCCCCTACTGGCAGTGGGAAGACCGTCATTCTCGAGCTCGCTGTCTGTCGGGCTGTCGCCACCAACGCGACCGGCCAGTACAAAGTGGTCTATCAAGCGCCGACAAAGGCTTTGTGTGCAGAACGCCAACGTGACTGGGAAGCCAAGTTCAACAGGTTAGGCCTCAAATGCGCCGAGCTGACCGGCGACAGCGACCTTGGGGATCTACGCAACGTACAGAGCGCTAACATCATCATAACAACACCCGAGAAGTGGGACAGCATGACCAGGAAGTGGAAAGACCACGAGAAACTGATGAGACTTATCCGCGTCTTTCTTATCGATGAGGTGCATATACTCAAGGAAGATCGTGGTGCCACGCTTGAGACGGTCGTTTCGCGAATGAAATCTACCGGCACGGATGTGCGCTTTGTGGCTTTATCAGCGACAGTGCCCAACTTCCATGACATTGCGGCATGGTTAGGAAAGAACTCGTCGGAACCAGACATCCCAGCCGCCAATGAGAAGTTTGGTGAAGAGTTCCGCCCAGTCAAACTCCGCAAGCACGTTCGTGGCTATGCATACAACTCCAGCAACGAATTCGGGTTTGAAAAAGTGCTCGATGCCAAGATCCCTGAGGTTATCGCTTCTCACTCACAGCGTAAGCCGCTCATGGTCTTTTGCGCAACTCGAAACTCCACAGTCAGCACGGCAAAGCTGATAGCAAACTGGTGGGTCTCGGCATCAGACCGAGATCGCATGTGGAAGCCTCCGTCTAAGCCACCCCTGCTGCTGAATAAGGAGCTTCGAGATACCGTGTCTTCTGGTGTAGCCTTCCATCACGCCGGACTTGATCTCGATGATCGGACCAAAATCGAAAAAGGTTTCATCGCTGGCGAGATCAGTGTCATCTGCTGCACATCCACGCTCGCGGTCGGAGTCAACCTACCCTGCCATCTCGTCATCATCAAGAATACCATGGCCTGGGGTGCGGAAGGAATGCAGGAGTATTCGGACCTGGAGATGATGCAGATGCTGGGTCGTGCGGGACGACCTCAGTACGATGACTCAGCTGTAGCAGTCATTATGACCAGGCAGGCGAAAGTCCGACGGTACGAGATGTTGGTCACAGGCCAGGATCTCATAGAGAGCAAACTCCATCTCAACCTGGTAGATCATATGAACGCCGAGATTGGACTTGGAACCATTAGCGACCTAGAGTCAGCCAGGAAATGGCTTAGGGGTACATTCCTTTACGTCAGACTCCAGCAGAATCCTGGTTACTACAAATTGGACGGCGCTCGAAGTGGTCAAAGCATCGAAGAGCAAGTTGACGACATATGCTTCCGCGACATCACACTCTTGCGCGAGACCAATCTTGTGTCAGGGCAAGAGTACTTCCGATGCACCGAGTTTGGCCATGCTATGGCACGGTACTACGTCCATTTCGAGACTATGAAAGTCTTCATGGAACTCGGGCTGCGGTCCACTCCCTCGGAGATTGTAAGTCACACAACCTTGGCGCTACTTGGAGGACCTTGCTGACATTCATACACAGCTCTCCGCCATCGCTCAAGCTGTTGAGTACTCTACAGTACGCTTTCGTCAAGGCGAAAAGGCGTTCTACAAGCTGCTCAACAAGTCCGCTTCGATCCGCTGGGCTATCCCTGTCAACCTTGATCTACCATCGCAGAAGGTATCTCTCATCGTACAATCTGTTCTTGGGTCTGCCGATATCTCGTGGGAAGGCGAGGCCGGCAAGCATCGTTCTCAATACACGACGGAGACACAGATCATCTTCAAGAATATTGGCAGTCTGATTCGATGCATCATCGATTGTCAGATTGCCTTAGGTGACTCCATCAGTATTCACAGTGCTCTCATGCTTGAGAGAAGCTTAGGCGCCAGAATCTGGGACGATAGCCCGCTCCAAATGAAGCAAATTGGCAGTATCGGCAATGTCGCTGTCAGAAAGCTCGTCAACGCTGGACTGAAGTCCATGGAGGATCTTGAAGGTTGCGAGCCTTACCGGATCGAAGCACTCGTTGGTCGAAATCCGCCTTTTGGCCTCGACGTGCTCGAGAAAGTCCGGTCGTTTCCGAAGCTTCGCGTCTCACTCAATGCTCAACCGTCAACCGTAAGTCTGCGATTCTTCTTTGAAGTGCATGTTCTAATGTCTATCCAGGCAATCAAAACCCACGATGGGGTCAAAATCCAGATCAAGGCAGACATTGGCTTCATCAACGAGCAGCCGCCCCAGCGCTTCAACAACAAACTCATATACGTGTGCCTTTTGGTGGATACTTCCGATGGCCGCAAGGTGCATTTCGCTCGCATCAGGTGAGCCATTACGATCTCGGTATTGCGCTGTACTAATCTTTCTCACAGTGGACCGAAGCTTGGGTCTGGCCAAAGCCTCACATTCCCAGCGCTCTTGACAAACCCCGACCAGTCAATCAACTGCTACGTCATGTGTGATGGCATAGGCATGTATTCCGGCTGCATTATGAGAGCTAAGACTGACTGTTACAAGCTGGCAGTATGCGTGCCGCCGCCGTGAAGCCCCAGGTCGCTGCCTCTATGTTTCCAACTCCAAAGCGCTTGGAAACAGAGCGGCCGACATCACATCAGTCTAATATGTCAAAGCGACGCACAGATACTGCAAGATCAAGCCGAAAGGTGTCCGCCACCAGCGATGACTATGGAGATGGTGATGTAGATGATGATGCTCTTGTCAACGCTTCCTTCCGTGATCTTGACTTTGATCACATCGAGAACTACGCCGACCCTATCGATTCCATCACACGGAAGAATACTGCGAAGAACAAAGTGACCAAGAACAAGGATGACGGAAAGAGCAAACGACCGATTGCTGCTGCTGAACACAACGATCCGGAGCCAGTGCAGCTAGCCAACGGCAAATGGGCCTGTCATCACCCGTGCAAAGATCGAGAGGCATGCAAGCACCAGTGTTGCAAGACTGGTATGGATAAACCATCGAAGAAGAAAGCTGTCGCCAAACGTGTACCATCGGGCGAAGATCGACCCGAGCCGACGCAGAAACCACCGCCTCCGAAAGGCAAGGAGAAGCAAACCAAGCTCCAGCTCACAGCATCTAAGAGGAAGATCTCGGCGCCGATTGATGAGCTCGATCTCACGCAACAAGAAAAGAAGCAGAGAGCCGACTATGGCACCAACGGGCCTAGGGACTACCGCGGCCTGCATCAACTGCACAAGACTATTCAGGGTAGAGAGCTTCCCTCTTCACTCCACTCGGTCAAGTACACGAAGCCAGCCTATTGTTACTCTCAAGGTGGCGAACATAGCCTTGACTTTATGGGCGGCTCCGCTCCCGAGCGGCACCCAACATCAAGCGATTACGGTGATTTCCGGTTTGACGAGCAATCAGTCGACTTCGATCATCCTCAGCATCAGTCTGCGCAGCAAGACTCACTCGGTGGCCCACAAGAGCCGGAAGATTACATGGACTATGAGCCTGCAGCTCATGTAGCCTCTCACGAATCTGACGCCTTTGACGATGACGACTCTGTCCTTCGAGAGGCTTTCATTGGGCTTGCAGATTCTCAAAATCTTCAGGAGATTCGTGAAAGCGACATTGATACCGTGCAGCCCTTCGAAAACGTCATCGACGATGACTACATGGGTTACGGAAGAGGTGACAAACAGATAGACTCTAGTTTGATCAATTCCGAAGATCACATTTCGCAAAAGCCGGAGTTTAGTCATCCCGATCATCCTCGCAAAGCACAAATCAAGACCTCTCGATCGCCTTTCTTTGACAGCGAAGACGGTGCCGAAGCCAAGCTTGCAAACGCCACACCCACAAAGGTACCCACGCCGCCAAACATGCAACAACGAACGACTACACCACCCGAGCCGCATACAGCCGGCGACCAACGAGACGCGTATGTGGGCCATGAGGTAGCAGACATGTTGGATATGTTCGGCGATAAGCCGGCAGTTGTCTCACTAGTCGAGAAGAAGCCGGTACCCGAAGCTTTCAAGGGCCTGGAGCCGTGGTTGTTCCAAGAGTTCGGCGACATCGTGGAACTTGTTGATGACTAGAGGTGCTACATCTGGAGTCACTGCGGTGCAATGGATAGGCAACGTGGACATGTGTGGGCTGACGAAAATCTGGCGGAATCTAGGCACTAGCAATGGCTTCGTCTTTTCAGCTCGCTTTGTTCCTTATTCTGCTTATTCATACTGTGAGGTTGTCTCTCATTCTACGAAAGCATGTGGGGCCAGAAGTATACATAACCTTAGCAACGGTCAGGATGTTCGGTTTCAGCAGTGTACGCAACACGCACTCTAGTCACACCTAGAGTCAACTGGCGAGTTGGCAAGCCTGACCAAAGCAGCAACAGCATCGAGCTCTTTCGCCTCCATCTCCCTGACCTCGTCCTCTTTGAGGACAGTCTGCATGTCGACATCTGGCAGATGCGACAGAAACCACCGCCACTCCTCCAGCCCATCCGCATACTCCGACTCAGTCTCAATCCCCCTCTCCGCCAAATGCCCTTTCATCACCCTATACCTCTCCATCATCCCAAACGTAATAACCGGCACAAACACATCCCCCGACCTCCCCGCAACACACCCATTCAACCTCGCCCTCAACACCGGGAACATGCGATTGAACTTCGATGCAAAAGCATTCCCCTCGCGCTCCACCCTCGGCTCCAAATCCTCTCCACCCCTCCCCTTAATCACCCTCCCCACAAACGTCTTATTAAACGCCTCGCGCACCTGTCTACTTCCCGGAAGCATGATCCCGCGCTTCCTTGACTCAACAATGGAGAGCTGGAAGTAGAGCTCGAACCACAGTTCCTCGGCTTCGTACCAGAGGCTCACCGAGCGAGCTTTCAGGCCGGCGCGCCCGTAGATCTGGTTGCGCCACGCGTTTATCTGGGAGATGTGTTGGGGGTTGTGCCAGTCGATGAGGGAGTGTGGGATCTTGCGGAAGTGTAGTTCGGTTGTTTTGCGCGGGGTCGTGCTGCTGTCGCAGAGCATGAGGAGGAGGGATGAGTCTTTGACGCCGAGGGTGGCTTTTTTGCGGGGGCCGCGGGGGATGAGGGTGGACTTTGAGCTGGGGGTGTTGCGACTGGTACTTGTAGGCTTTTCGGTGGTGACTCGGGCGCAGTTTAATGATGTTTTGAGCTTCTTGGTTGGTGACGTGATGGCTGGGTCGGTCTGCTCGTCTGCGCAGCGTTTGCGCTTCTGTGTGGTGATGGAGATGATGGAAGGCTGTGACTGGGGCTCGAGCTTCATTGTCTGAATCGGGGTATGAATCGTGACATAAAATTCGGAAGCGCCTCTGATCCCTTTGCGCAAGGTAGGCAGCTTGTTTGCTGTGTGAGCTGACAGGCGAAAGCACCAAATCCAATGTGAAAATCGAATACCTTGCAGTCTAACTTCGCACCGAAACGTTAGTTATGGGGTTGTTAACGCGATGTAGATTCTGGGTTGTTTACCTCCTGTGGGTCGTGTTGATATGGTCGGAGCGGTGTTGTGTTGTGTGGTTTGGATGGTTGTGAAGAAGAGCCAGGGAAGTCTGAATGAGAGACAAGATGCAACGTAGAGCCAAGCTTACAAGATTGCGCGATAGCGAGTGGTTACTAAAACAGTTTTCACGAAAAGTGCGGAGGTGAAACAGAGTGAGAGCACGCGCAGTGTACGCGTTGTTGTTTACACTCGTCGATGTCGCCGCGCGACCACAAACACTGACTATTGTCGTCTCGATTCGGAAAACGCGAATGTGAACGGAAATCAAGACGAACGGGCTGAAAATATTTGCAACAATGGTATCTGACTGAGAGATCACACATGATAAGGATGCTGGTGGTGACTGCGCGCTTTCGACTGACGTCACCCCAGCATTTGCCGCGCTACCGCGTTCACCTTCACTGGACAACATCGCGAGATCCAACAGTTTGAAACTCAAGACCGAAGCTCTGTGTGGAAGTTTGGACTCGTAGGACGATGGTCACCGGATAAGCCACTGGAAAAGAAACGTTGGTGGAGGTGTCTCATGAGATGACATGCCGACAGGGATGCCTAGGGCGCAGATTCTGACCTAGAATGCCAGTCCAGGCGTGCTGCGTGGACGCAGTGCTTCTTCACTCCCTTGCTCATTCGTTCGCAGCACTCGCATGTAAGGTTCCGCCCGCAATGTCTGTCCGCCACATTCGGTTTCCAGATCCAAACAAACTGACGATATCTCAACGTTTTGATGATTTGAGCGACGGCGAAGAGCGTTGAATGCCGGAGCACATCCAATGATGACGGCTGAGGATTGAAGTCAGCAGAGCGAGAGACTATGTCCCAGAGAGATTACCAACCCATTGAAGTCTCGATGACAGTCCACATTTGCAACCACTTTGGGTCTGGTATCTTTGGTAGACCGTCTTTGACGCTGACTTGAACGACACGGAGCGTCGCAAAGACCTGAAAGTAAGGCATCATGTTAGTATGGTCATTGAGGAATGCGGGTAATAGCGGGTGATACATACAATACATATCCAACCACTTCCGAACAGGACGAAGATGCCGAGCTTTTGAGCCCTGGGTAGCCGAAGGTTCCAGGTCATGCGAAACGGAAGGAACATTACTGCACTTGTCAGTGAGGTCCTGTAACCGACAGGACAGTCATACGAACCTGCGAGATCACCGGCCACATCTACTGCGTACGCAAACCATAGACTAAACTGCGCACGCTTCTGCTCATTCGGTTTTGCGCACATGCCGTAGTTATACTTCGCCCTTTGGTCGTCGCAGACGAAGATGGTTGTCATAGCACTTCCCACATACGACTGTTCGAGTGTTAGTAATGAGCGCTAAACGCTGGTCATGCGTCGCATTTACCAAAACACAAAAGGCCAAAATCGTCCACCACATGATGTTATACTTTGGCGAGGCTTTGTTCAACAGAAGTCGGTAAAGGGCTAACAGTGATAGCTTCACTGCCGTCAGAGACGAATAGTATAACAATTGACCAGCTGTCAGCCATCGATAGACCATTCCTGCATCATGAACTTAAGACAGTCAGCATGCCGCTTTATCTGCGCATTGAAAGATGATCATACGCACGGAGTTCTGGATACAACGGCGCCTCGCCTCTCTGAACACGCTCGGCTCGATAAAGCGGGTCGTTCTCCTTGAAGAACATGACGAGCATTGCGACATAGAAAACATAAGATAGACAGCAAAAGAAGTCTTGCAGCTCGAATGTTCTCCGCTTGAATAATCGAATAGCAATGCGCGCAACGAAGACCAAAGACGTCAGAGTCAGCATGGCGGTGTTGATGCCTTCTAGTTCGCGTCTGCTCATCGTTGCTGGAGGTGCGTTCTTGTCCCAAGTGACATCTGCAAGTTGTTGGGACGTCATGGTATCGGGTCTGGGTATATCGGAAGTGTTTTGTTGAACATCCGACGCGGTGAAGCTTTCTCGAACTGTATGTCGTCAGGTAGCTGTATGTGGAAGGATCGATGAAGTAGCGAGAAGTCTACATCAATAGCACCAACAGGAACGTATGGATCCCTCAGATCAAGTATTTGATATCTGACCGCTTGCGAAGCGGAGCCAACGATTAGTATTCCCGTAAGCGCCTGTCTACCTTGATAAGAGTGATCTGCCGTACAAGGTACTTTACGACGTGGGTCTGTATTACTGCATATCTCACGAAGACCGGTATTGCACAACCCAGTTGCGCAGACCTAACGTGCACTGCCATCGTGCGATCAGTCTAACAAAAGCTGTAGAGCTCATGGTTGCCTCGTCGGTAACATTCGATAGCGCAACACTTTGGTAGTCTCTTATCGAGGCACTTGAGGATGTCGTCCGGCGGGGCCTGGAGGTACCTGCAGTATCATTCACGGTCTGGTGGGGGCGATGTTACCGAGAGTAAGGTTCTCATTTCCAGGGTCGTCCCGCCTCTGCCGCTCGGCCGGCACAGCCATCCCCGTTCCGAGCATCCTTCTGCTATCAGAGCGCATCGCTGTTCGACTTTGATTCATCTCCTTTTCGGATTGAATGTTGTTGTGGCCTTGAAAGTGCTATAGGCTGCTTGTTCATGTAAACGTCATAGCGGCGAGGGGTTGCGGGACGCGACTTCTTCTCAACCGCGCCAGGATGGATTAGGAATAGCCGACAGCTCGTCCCATTCCGTGCAAGACATGGCAAGGCTTCGCTCACCACATCGCCACAATCCCGCAGGATCCAACCGTCTTCTTGCAAGAGGCTTAGCATTGCGCCAATTATCGGACACGTACCTCAAATTAGATGCTTACAGCCAAGCGAGGTGCAGAAGGATGCGGCGCACTGGTATGCTGTTAAAGAGGCCCCCAAGTGAGAGAGCCCCGGGGCCCCAGACCTCGACGCGCCCTTGGGACTCAAACGCGCAGGTTATTGTCGAACGCGCTGCCAAGTGACCTAACTCGCAGAGTTGATTGCAGCTATCAGCAGCGATGAAGGTCACATGTGTTGTTCCCATCGCAGCTCTTGCAGCCGGTGTGGGAGCACAACCCAGCGGCGCTGCTTTTGAGCCGCAAGACTTCAACATCACTGCGGCTCTCGAAAACCTCGGCGTCGACGTCTCGGCTCTGCCAGAACCTGCGAATGCACTCAATATCCGTGGCTCAGATGCGCAATGCTCAGATGCCGTAAGCTTTGTCACGATATCACGAACTTAGGGTTGCGCAAGCTGACAGACTCTAGTGTACCGCGTTGACGATACTCTTCGGCACCGACAAGGTCTTGGCTGAAGGAGCAACCACATACAGCAACTTCACCGGGGGATATTGGTCTGCTCAACAAGGTCTAGTACGACCTTCTTGTGTGTTCAAACCCACGAAGACACTTGAGGTTTCGACACTCGTGCTCGCGGCTAGACTATACCAATGCCCCTTCGCAGTAAAAGGCGGTGGCCATGCTGCGTGGGCCGGTGCATCTAGTATCGAAGATGGAATTACAGTATCGCTTGAACACTTCAAGCAGGCTGTCGTTGCTTCCGATAAGCAGACGGTCGACATTGGTCCTGGACTCCGATGGATAGACGTCTACAACGCTGTCGAGAAAGACGGTCTGAGTGTCGCAGGAGGACGTGTAAGTCTACGCATCTGCGCCAACTTCATGGTCTAGTTACTAATCGCAGAACTAGATGGCCCCCGTTGGCGTGCCTGGCCTCATTCTCGGAGGCGGCATATCTCACTTCGCGAGCAAGCGCGGCTGGGCTTGTGATAACGTGGCGAGTTTCGAACTGGTCACGGCTTCGGGTATTGCGATAAACGTCAGCACGACTACTTATCCCGACCTATACTGGGCATTGAGAGGAGGCGGTAACAACTTCGGAATCGTCACAAACTTCAAGCTTGACGCCTTCCCCCTTGGCCAGATGTGGGGAGGCCAGCGGGTGTACCTTGAGGATGCATACCCCGCTGTGCTTGATGCGATTCATCAGTTCACAGTCTCTGGGTCTGTTAAGGATGAAGATGCGGCCCAGATTGTTGTAAGTGCGCTGAGCAGACTCCTCATGCGCGGAGAATTAACATCTTTAGACTTTCGCAAGCGCGCCCGGGATCGGCAAGGTCGCTTTCGCTAACCTCCACTACGCCAAGCCTATTGCGAACGCGCCTGTCTTCTCGAGTTGGGGTAATATCACTGCCATCGATGACACGACTGGCCTTCGCCCAATGTCCGGCATGGCCGATCTCCTCAATCAGGGTGCTCCTGCCCCTGGTGCTTTCCAGACCTGGTGGGGCATTAGTCTCAAGATGGACAGGCAATTGCTCAAGTTCATCGTCGACACATTCTACACGCAAGAAGCAACTGTCGCCGACGTCGAGAAGATCCTACTCATTATGGCCATCCAGCCCATCACCGAAGGCGCGACCAAGGCCATGCAAAAGAACGGTGGAAATGCTCTAGGCATCGATCCAGCAAATGGCCCATACCTCGTACTCAACTTCAACGCTGCCTGGAACAACAAAGAAGACGAGCCCAAGTTTCACAATGTGATTGCCAACATCATCAAACTTGTGAAAGCGGAAGCGAAGCGAAGGAACCTGGACCACGACTTTGTGTATCTGAACTACGCATCCGAATACCAAGACCCCATCGGTAGCTACGGAGCGAAGACCAAACTGCGGCTGATGAAGATATCCAAGAAGTACGATCCGAAACAGGTCTTCCAATACCTGCAACCGGGTGGCTTCAAGCTTGTCAGAGGCGCGCCGAACCCGAACACTCCGTACGTACCAGTTGCCATTGATCA